CCTAAAAAGTAGTAAACTAGCCTAAACTAAGTCGTATTCTTACTTGTAGTAGTGTTAATGTTAAGTAGTAAGCGAAATACCTACGTTATTCCATCTATCTATCTATATATATATATATATACTTGCATGTGTGTGTGTGTGTTTTGTAGAATTTTATCCATTTCAAAAAATTCCACACCTCTGATAATGTCATTTTCCTTTAAATTAAGTTTGGTTAATATTAATGGTTATAACTCTTTCTTACACTTGCAAAGCATATTATGTTTTGTAAGTGAATTTCAGAGTTAATTTAAAATGTTTAATCTGACTAGACCTTCTGAGAAGTTATTTAAGGTAATGGCCAAAAGTATCTACACACACACACATATATATATATATATATTAAAGCACAAAACTCTGTGTATCTGTCCATCTGTCCTTTATCTAACTACTCCTAGGTCACTGGACCATTCTCAATCAATCTTTGTGGGATGATAGTCTGGAACAAGGGACATGTTAATGAGTGGTTCACAACCCCCTCCACCTTTATTATCCCTTTCGAGACAGGTCACAGGTGAAAGGCCATATCATCTCATTTGTTGACTCAGGTTCAAAATTGTATTGAACTACTATTTCATGAATTTGTGTCAATAAGTTTGGTACCAAACTGTAGATTATAATTCAAATTTTAGAACTATACATTACTCAACTTGTTAATTTAAAAGTAAATATAAAAAAAACAACACAGATAAACATCAATTTTTGTGTATCACGTGGTATGTTAAATGCAGCACTGGTTCAAATTAGATGTTTCTGAAGTCAAAATACTAAGTCTATAGTTTCATATAAATTAGAAACTCAAATTACAGATATTGACAAGCTAGAATATAAAATATGAGAGTATTATCTTTTCTATTTGCTAAAATATTGCTCACATAATAAATTAAACACAGTGGCACCCCGCTCACCTCTTTCCATTTTTGGAAATGCTCCTTTATGTACACTTACTTCTATATATGACATGAATAACCAATCAGAAGCTCAGAATGTCCCCCTAGTGGTTTTCTCAGCCTTTCTAACATTCTTTCCATCATTTCTTTCTACTGAATTAAGGTTTCAATGAGGAAGGTTGTGTCTTTAGTCTGCTCAAAATTTCATATCTTTTTTAGACCCAAATACAGCTTAGTTACTAAGCTTGATAAATTATAGTTGAATCCTATGGTATTGATGTAGTAATTTATGATTTTTTAGTTATTGAAAAGTATATATCAAAAACCTAAAAAAAAATATTTTGTTTCATATCCTCCATGTCCAAAATTTTTAAAAGCTTAGCAACCTACTTCAAGCAGCAACCGAGTACAAAGGTCCTAACTAGAAAAAATAAATGTTTGCTTTACTTCTTTATTTACTGTTCTATGTTTTAGGGAAAATAGCTTTATGAACTTATTTCCAAATAGCAATAATCTAGATACATATCTAATGTATAATAATTGAAATGTGACAGCATTTTACAAAATACTAGCCAACCAAAACACAGCCAAGACAAGTTACTTTGTACAGACCAAAGGTCACCTTTATGTTATTTAATACAGTAGCATAAGTGCACGTGAGCTGCATCATTTTAACTTCTGTATTGTTACCCAGACAATGGTGAAAGGTCAATATAATAAAAATAATAAATACATATAAATGTATAATGTTATGAGATTTAAGCTATTTCGTCTAAACATTTATGTTTTCGTGTCAGACTTTGTGTTCATTCTAGAATGAAAGAGGCATAATTTATGTTTATTTCCTAATTTTTTATGGTGGTTGTGATATCTGAAAATAACAGAAAAAATATAGTTTTTCTAAAGAAATGTTTGATAACTATATGGACATTATAAAGATTTTGAATGTGAGATTTAAAAATTTTCTGATGCATAAAAGTATTTTTAATCTTAAAATGAAAATTACTTTGCATGATAAATAGGCAAGATGTGAAAAGAAAAAAAGGCATGAGAGAAACATTGCTTTACAAACCTTAAGACTTTTGCATATGAAAGCATTGTAATGTTTATTGATAAACTACCAAATTTCATTAACATTTGCTTACTAATTTAAAAGTTACAGCATTGAAACTATAACAAGCACAAAATGGTTATGAGGTCGGTCCCAAGGACCAACCCCAGGTTGAGATAGTTATTGCAGGTTTTGACCATTTATCACTTTTGATGTAATTAGCATTAACTACATTCATATATAGTGCCACATTCTTACACCAAACAAAAATAATGTTATTAAACTTTCCATCCCCTGGTGTGACAGCAGTAACGTTTCAGATTTACAATGCTAAAGACAGGGGTTTGATTCTCTTTGGCAGACACAGTACATCGCATAACGTGGCTTTGCTATAAGAAAACACACATATATTAAATCTTCTATAACACAACCTATACACAGTGTTGGAGAAGGCACACAAATGTCTTGTATATCTCAGAGAACGCACTAGCACTCTCTGTGGAGGAATGCAATGAAAAAAAATGTCTGCCACTATTGCAATAATACATAAATTCATATGAAGTTTCTACTCCAGCAGCCAAAATGAGGCTAATATGAAGAGCAATTTCTAGAGTTATACCAATTTCCTACTTTGACTCGTGGCCTTTCAGCTTTGGCCTGTAAGACACTTTTGTGACTGTCAATTAATTAATCATGTGAAATAGTGTGGAAGAACATTAAGAGGGGATGTTGAAAGTGGGTAACAGAAAGCACCCCTATAACCTCTACTCTGGCCATTACCTCTTCATACAAAGTTACCCTGACTATCACACAGTGTATACCATATATACATATACATAGTGAGTTCTTAAAGCTTATACAAAACTTTTAGTAAGGTAATAATGAATACTGCAACAATATGTTATGCTATAAATAAATTGAGTGAAAGTTAAGATTTTTGCATTATTTATCATAGCATTCACTTCCGCATTTTTTAAAGTTTATAACCTAGACAAAGGATGGGGACCACTGCTGGTTAATAATAACATAGGCCTGCAAATTGAAATCTCATAAAAGTTGTTTTGGTTTCAATAATGGATTTTCCATAATTTAGCTATGCAGAATTTGAAAATAAAATTTTTTTTCTATCATGTATGGATTTTTTACAAATTGGGAAGAAAAAAAACTCTTACTTAGATCAAATTATTATTTTATTTACCACAGTGAACATTTTTTATTATTATGTTCCTTAACAAAAATTAAAAAAATGAAGAAAATGGAAAAACACTGATGTCAAACAAATATGCATCCTCATTCATCCTGATTATATTTGTGAAATCTATGTCTTTTAGTCTCAAAACTACATGTTGTGGTCTTCCTTGTATGCATTGTGTCTGGAGCATCTCGTTTCAATGCCCAGCAGTAATCAGCCATCATGCTGGTGTTCCACCTTCCCTGATACCTCCTTTCCATTTCACATTCAATGTTTTTCGATCCTGGTATCAGGCTGACTCTGATTGGTCATTGCTTCTTTATCCAGTATTGATTTTGTGCTCTGCTGTCCCATTCACACAAAAAAACATGGAACTTTGTATAACTGGATTGTTAACCCAACAACATACAAAGGACTTTTAAGTCTCCACAAAGTATTGGACCTTATTAAGAAGAAGTTCGAGATTTTTGTAAGTTCCCTTCAAGTGAACCGAATGAGCAATAGGAACAGATGCATATATGTTACCATTATGAAGGAGAACACCTTTTAAAC